TGAGGTTTGACGGCTGGAAGGAAGGCCAGGACTGAAAAGAAGGACTGAGAGACTTGCACCTGTGTCTAGCAACAGGCTGTTTTCTTTTTCCTCTGTAGTCATGATTACCTGGGACTCCTCCATGGAGATGACAGCCTGGCCAGAAGGAGAAGACAGAGTATTCCCAGGGCCCCCTCATTCCTGTTGGACTAACTGGTAGTATGGGTCTGAGCTCTGGGGCCTCCACTTCAGAGGGCAGACCGATCTCCAGTGCTCACCTTTGCATTCAGGGCATGGCCCAGGGGGCTTCTTAGGGTAGTTCCTCTTGAGGTGGCCTGGCTTGTAACAGTGGTAGCAGATGAATGTACTTGTGAAGTTCTTGGTAGGAACTCACTTTTTTAAGTCTGAATTTCTTGGCACACAAAAATAGGGTTCTTAATAAAAATTTCTTTGTCTTTGAAAGGTAATCATGGACATTTTTATTCTAGGATTACCCTTCATTCTTGGAAAAATCCCGTAACCCAGAGTAGATTCTTTGGCTGACAAATAAGAATATATTTTATCTGGACACTAGTAATCATACTGCTGATGAATATGAATCTCAGTTGAGCTTTGACTGCATTATTCTGTCAGTGTGAATGCAAAGGCCCAGTGCATAGGAGGCTGTCAAGGGTCTCTCAGCCAGTAGGGGACACATCAGGGAAAAGGTGTGCTGTCTTCCCCCCCGCCCCTCCATTTGTGGCATCTCTGAGTACCAGAAATCCAGATCTGGTTTCATTCTTCAGTCCTGTCCCTGTGCTTCTTGTCTTACAAAGGGACAGAAAGCACCCTGAGATCACTGCCTCGCTAACTTGATGCCACTTAAATCTGAGCTTCAGCGTCCCCTGGTCTCTGAAGAACAGGCAGTGCTGGAGGGAAAGGCAGCAGGTCTGTGCTGGGTAGCAGGGAATGGATGTGATTCAGTGGCTTTATCATTTTTTTACCTCTGAAGCTTCTTGTGACCCTCCCGGATTTTACACACAAGTACTCTAGAATCTGCCTGGGGAACTCCTCTTCTTGAGTATCTGATGAGAAGTGGACACATTTTTTTTTTGTTTTGTTTTCTCCTAAGTTGTGCTTGGTTTGACTTTGCGGCTCTAGCTGTGTCTGCAAAAGTGTTGGGTATCTGGACCTGTGATGATCATACAAACCCTCAGGAAACTTGTGCCTGGAAGGTGAAAGTTCTCTGAGCCTAGGCGGAGGAAGGTTAAGACCCCACACCTTCTTCTTTTTGATAGAGGCTGAAATACAAAAATGCGGAAGTAATGACAGAGATCGACAACCTAACTTCAGTGGAGGAGAGGTAAAATGTTTATGGCTGTACCTTTAAGTGAGTCAGTCTCTGCTCTGTATTCATCCTCTACCTGAATTTACCAACTGGTGACCATAGCAGGATGAGAGGGCTGACATGGGAAGGGGAGGCCTTGGAGTTGTTGTTCCTTCCTGCCCTTGCCTCCCTTGTGTTCTCTGTGGAGGTGGAGGTTGTGTCTCCGGAGCTTACTTCCTATCCCCCACTTTCTCTAAGTCCCCTTCTCAGAATTAACTACTCAGAAACAACCTTTCTGTGTCATAAGGAAGCATCCTCTTTTATTTAAAAAAAAAAGTCACCGGTTTTCATAGTCAGCTTCTTCAGAAGTATATCTCGAGTTATCACATGTAAAAAAAGTGCCAAAGCAGCCACACACCTGCCTCCAGGCAGAGGGTGGCAGCTCCTCAGAGTGCACTATTGTTTTTCCCTTTTCTGAGTGTTGTGAGAGGGAAAAAGTGCTAAAGGGCTGTGCCTTGCTGTGCTGTATGAGACACTGCCCTCTGTCACTCCCTGCTAATGATTTTTCCATCACTTCAAATGAATAGCAAAACTACTCAGAGGAACAAGCAAAGAGCCATGGGAAGAAAGAAATTCAACATGGACCCCAAAAAGGTAAGTGCGTACTTCCAGTTTTCTGACATGCAACTGATCTATTTTAACGGCTGCTTCTTTTTCAACAAAGGTGGTCACTTCATAAAAAGACAGAGTTGACATTATTTTATCCAAAAAAGTGGGGGTGGTGGGTGCTGCTTAATGAGTGAGGTGAAGCAGAAGTGTCTTGTTGAACTGGTTTCGGTCATTGGTTTTCATTGTCAGCTTCTTCAGAAGTATATCTCAAGTTATCACATGTGAAGAAAACGCCAGGTAGCAGGCAGTGGTGGATGCCATGCAGCCCAGGAACGCAAAGAGAGGGTGGGAGTGTTGGGGCGGGGGTTGCAATTTTAGGGAGGGTGGGCAGCGGGGGACCTCAGGGAGAGAGGCCTTAAGGACAGCAGTATCTGCTCACCTGGGCCTGGTCCCTGAGGCAGGAGCATGCCTGCCCCAGGGAGGCAGCAGTAGCCACTGGCTGTGGCCTGAGGTGAGGCTGGGCCCTGGATGTGTCCTGCTGAGTCAGCCTTTGCTCCCTGGGTGCAGTCCTGAGAGGGCGCTGTGTCCTCACGTGCCATCAGGACTGTGGCAGCCGTGGGATGTCATGGGGTTCTGGAAGTCACCAGGTCAGACGCAGGAGACTGTGCCAGTGGGACAAGAAGTATTGGGAACCTGGCCGAGCATATGACGGGGGCAGCGGGCCTTGCTGGAAAGGTGGTAAATCTGTCTTGAATTATTGAGTGGAAGGAAACCAAGTCTCATTGCTGGTTCTGAGGCCCCCATGCCCCTACCAGGGTGGCACCCAGGCTGAGGGGGTCGAATCCTTGCCGTGGTGCGGTCGCTCGGTGAGGGGTCTGTCTTTCCTCAGGCAGTTCCTATGGAGCTTCAGGCTGCCTGGAGAGGCTCAGAAGATCGATCGAATGATGGAGGCCTTTGCTTCTCGCTACTGCCTGTGCAACCCAGGCGTCTTCCAGTCCACAGGTCAGTGAGCCGGCGCCCCGCCTGGCCCTCGCATCTGCTTCAGGACAAAGGCCTGTGGCACAGGCCAGCCTATTCCTGAGACCTTCTTTCCCTTTCCCAGCACAGTCTTGCCTAGGGTGCAGGGAGCCACTGAGCGAGCACAGGTTTCTGCCTTTTTTTTTCTCCGTGGACTCCACACTTCTTGTCCAAGCCCCAGCAGAGCTCAAACTGTTGAGTCCCTGCTGTCCTCTGTTTTGTTGCAGACACATGTTATGTGCTGTCGTTCGCCATCATCATGCTCAACACCAGCCTGCACAACCACAACGTGCGCGACAAGCCCACCGTGGAGCGGTTCATCACCATGAACCGTGGCATCAACGAGGGGGGGGACCTCCCTGAGGAGCTGCTGAGGGTGCGTCTGTGGGACCGAGCTTTTGAGCCTCCTCGTGGTGGGGCTGTTTCCCCTCCTTCCTTGTTGCTCCTTAGTTTAATTTTATTTTTTTGTACTGGGAATCGAACTCATGACCTCATCCTTAACTCTTGAAATTTTAAAACTTCCCCAAGTTTTCTGCAGATTTGCACTGCTGGTTTATTCTTTTTTTTTTTTTCTTTGCAGTATTGGGAATCAATCCAGGGGCACTCTTCCACTGAGCTACATCCCAGCTCTATTTTTTTTTTTTTTAATTTTTGAGTCAGGGTCTCACTGCGTTGCCTTGGTGGGACTCAGACTTGTGATCCTTCTGCCTCAGCCTCCCACAGTGCTGGGATTATAGACATGGCCCCCAGACCCAGCTGGTTTATTCACTGTAAATGCATCTCTCAAGTGTCTCTTGCTTCCTAGTCCTGCTGTTCTTTATGCTTACCCTGCACTGGAAAGAGATAAAAGAAAGAACGATTGCTTCTCCTCCGTGATTTCTGGATTTGCTGCTATTTTTCCCCTTACAGAACTTATACGAAAGTATTAAGAATGAACCATTTAAAATCCCAGAGGATGACGGGAATGACCTGACACACACGTTCTTTAACCCGGATTGGGAAGGCTGGCTCCTGAAGCTGGGTGAGCCTACTGCGTGTGCCCCGCCCACAGCCCCTGAGCCCACCCAGCAGCTCCCTGGTCTCCCTCCCACTCCTTGTAGCGGAAGCCCCTAAGCACAAAGCAGAAATGTAAAAAAGAGTGTAACTGAACCAAAGTCCACTCTAAGCAGCCACCCATCCCAGCACCAATGGCTGCTTCCTTGAATAGTGGCCTTTCAAAGCAAGCCACATGTTCAGTGTCCACGGCAGGGACTTTACAACCCGTCCCAGAAAACTGCCGAGTTAGCGTCCACCTAAATGCAGGGCAGTTTTCTCTACAAGAAGCAAGTACACTTACCTCCAAAGGACCTGTGTGCCTTTCTCTTGGTTTGGCGTGGCTGTGGTTTTTGATGAGTGGTTTAAATGTGCCTTCTTGTTGTTTTTCTTCTGCCTGTGGCTCCCACCTTTCTGTTCTGTGACGGGCTGTCCCTGCTTGTCCTGCGTTAGGAGGTAGGTACCCAGTGGCTTCCTCCCCTCCCCGGCGGCTCATTCCTCTCTCGGTTTTTCTCCCCCGCGTTGGTCTGTGTGAAGCTCTGATCTGTGGCTGACATTCATTTGATTCATCTGGCTTTGGACTTGGTGGGGAACAGTGCTGTGCACAGTGTGGTGTGTGTGACACCCACCCCCATAGTGACAGGGCCAAGAGAGGCCGGGGCCAGGAGTGCATGGGGACACTGTGGGAGCAAACTAGCCCTCCTCATCCTTAGGGTCCTGCAGCAGCAGCAGGGGAGCTGGTAAGCAGCCCATCCCTGCAGAGTCACAAGTGCCCCATACTAACCAAGCAGTGTGTGTTTGTACCTCCCCTAGAAAGATTCTGGGGACATCTCAAAGGCTTCCTTACCAGTGACAAAGAAATCTAATGGATTTTGTCCTTTATGGGAAAATTTAGGAGATTTTAGGGTTTGACACTCCGGGAGGGGGATGGATTTTACCTTCCTTTGACAGTAAAGCACATGAGGTCTGACTGTGTTATTTTCCAGGTACTTCCGAAAACAGAGTATCGCTGTGTAGCATGTAAGAACTTTGGGCTCGAGTTTTGGAGGTTTTTAAAATCTTTTATCAGTGGAAGATATAAGATGTGGCTTGATGAAAACCATACAGCCACAGGCTACCTTGGCTAATAGGGTGAGGGTGCACCCTGCGGGCCCACTGTTCCCACTGGGGCCTTTGACCTTGGGCCTTGCTCTGTGACTTTCTCTGGCTGTGCTGAGGTTTAGAAGAGTTCTGAATCTTTTCCTAAAAGCCTGGTCTTGTAGCCTTGGAGTTGGATGCCCGAGTGACCTGAGGTACACAGCAGACTTCTCACCTTGCATCATGCCTGTGATGCTGGAACGGGGTCAGGAGGAAGACTGCATCCAAAGACTCCAGCCACTGTGCCTGGCCAGAGTAAGGAGGCCCTTCAGTGGATCAGACAACTGCCTTCCAGCCCCTGTGCTCCCCAAGAGTGTCCCCTGGGGGGACATGAGATTGCCAGCCTTCATGGCAGCTCAGATGGCCTCTGCTGCTCTGGAGATACAAATAAGCGAATGAAACGAAGACATCAGACAGCTTGTGTTTTCTGACCTGTTTCCTGGTTGAGCAGATACACAGGCCACCAAAATGAGCATGAGAGCACTTAAGGGAACTGTGCATTTGGCCGGATGCAGCCAGATGCAGCCTCAGCTAGGTGGGCAGCCGAGGGGGCACAGGTAGTCCTGGGAAAGTGCCATCTGTGGTGTTGGCACCTGTGGTCTCTCTTGCCCCTGCAGCTTCTCTGTCCATTCTCAGGACTGAAATGTGACTCCATCCAGCCCTCTGGCATGACCCTGCACTGAATGGGCAAACATGGTCCCTCCCAGCAGAGGGCATGGCAGAGTCAGAACCCAGGCACCCGCTGAAGGTGTGCAGGATGGGTGAGACTCGGGCATGTTCTCAGGAAATTGGAAACTGCTCCTATCTGACCATTTCCAGCCCACACAAACAGTAGTTCTACCTGGTTCCACAGAAAACATGGGTCAGATCAGCTTTTAACCACATCCATTGCTACTTCAAACCTTCAGCAAAACACTTATTGCCCTGACATAATCAGATTTCTTACTGAATGACTAGACATATAAATAACTGGGAATAGTCCATTGTCTTCCTCTTGCAGTACTCTGTGTGGCACTTAGGGTTTTCTGTGAACAGTGGAGAGCCCCAGATCTCAATTGGAGTGGGCTCACTGAGACAGACAACAGAGGCATTGATGTCCCCGCCATTGTGACTGTCAGAGCTGGGCAAGGACAAGGGCACTGGGCGTCAGAGCCTCCTTCCTGAGGACCTCTGCACCTTTGGGATGCCTGTGCATTAACACCTGGGCCCTCTTCGGTTCCATACACGGGCTGTTCTGCTGGTGACCCCTCCCCAGACTTTCTCCCTCCCTGTCTGTGCTGGCGCCCCCAGAGTTTGCACCCTTTGGAGTTCTTTGTATTCCTGTGCGAAAGCAAGTCCAGGAATGAAAACCTCAGACCCAGCGCACTTACCCAGAAATAAGTCTTCCCTTGAGCTGCCTTGAGGCAGAGACTGTGCAGCCCTGGGCCCTTTGCCTCTGGGTGGCTGACCTTAGTGTGTAGCTTTAGGTCACACCAGACTGCAGAGGATCCAAGACTGAAGGTCTCCATCATGCCTTAGACAGATTTAGTGATATATTTGCAAGCATCTAAGCTGTCACTTTACTGACATCTCAGACCTGAAACTTTAGTGTTTGAGCAAGTCAGCCACCTTGACATGCCTGACTGGTGCACATGCAACTTGGCCCGTCTGCCGTGTAGAGGTGCTGCCCAGACCTGGACCAAGCATGATGCCTCCGTGCAACAGCCTACCCTCAGGTCAGTGCTGCCAGGGACTGCAGCAGGGTTGGGTCAGCAGGTCACACAGGGACTAGCGGCTTCCTCCCTCCTGATTGTCTAAGGCAGTGCCGCCCTGGGGATGTGCAGCTTCCTTTGTAGGGTGTTGAGAGAAGGGAGCGTGGAGTCATGTGGTGGTGAACCTTTATCACCGCGGTCACCTGTGAGCCAGCTCTGGGCGATGGCCATTCACCCAGGATCATGCAGAAGGCCCTGGAGTGCCGAATCTTAAGTGACTTGCCCTGTCAAGAGTATTACATGAAATCACCTAATCCCTGGTTTTCTTGTGAAGTATTAACCTGAGGGCACCTGCCATCATGCTATGTACCTGGCCTCCACCCAACACTGCAGACATGGGGCCCCTCCTCCTACAGGGGCGGCGATCTGTCACACGGGTCACCTCCCCACCCAAGGGTCTGCACTCAGTCTTGAGTTGTCTGTCCCAACTCTGGCCAAAGACGAAGTTTCATCCAGAGACAAAGGGCGGCAGGCAGTTCCAAGGAGGATCCTGAGGGGAGGTGACAGCTCCACAGCCTCCGCAGCTGTCTTGCTGGGCCCGGTTATCATCTGAGGTTTGTTTGGACTAACCCTGGACCCACACAAGCCTCCATGTCTCTGGGGTCCTGAAACACTTTCAAGTAGCTTGATGTGGCCCCAGATGGACTCAAAGTAAGAGCTGTTCATAGATGAAGCAGCATTTAATGCTTCAAATAAAGCAATGCCTATTTTCATGGTTACAAATGCACATATCCACACAGATATGCTCTGCTGAGAAGTTAGGTCTATTATAGACCAGAAATCACTGATTTCTCATTTTATTTTTTTCCTCAGAAAGCATTTCTATTACTTAAAACGTAGTTAATATGTAAGTAATGTACATGAATTGATTTGTGGAGAGTTTTGTTATTCAGTGTATGCCCCCTACAACTTGCAGGAATATTCTACTGATATCGAAATATCTACTGATATTTTGCTGCAAAGTGAACAACAGTACAACTGAAGGGTGTGTGGCTGTTAAAGCTTGCAAATACAGTCTTCATTAAAAGTGAATCACATGTGTTGGTAAAACAAGGTCTAAGACTTGCTTCTTTAAAGCGGAGATGTGTTGGGTGCAGCAAACTGCCGCCTGGTTTTCCCTGACCCATGTCCGAGGTCTGAGGCACCTAGTGAGATGGTAGCCAGAACTTTGTAGGTTTGAAGGAAAGTGAGCACAAAGTCAGAGAACACATGGCTGGAAGCAAATAGAGAAAACGAAAATGAGAAATGACACAAAGTGTTTAATTTGCTGCCATTTATTTACTTTTTGCTGCCATTTATACACATATACATAGTACATGTTGAATATTTACAGTGGGGCAAGTGTTTTTTTAATCTTAAAAAACAAAAGATCTAACTTTAGACATCTCTGAACAACATAAACTGTCTAAACCATACAGATTATTCAGATGGAAACTATTCAATACAGTTTTCCCACTCCGTCTCCTGAGGCAGGACCAGTGAATTATAAGTGTATCACACACAGCTTGATAGCATATCCATATTCAAAATAAAATTACAGAGTGATTTTGTCTGTAACTAGGAACCTTAAGGGACCCAGGCTGGTAACTCAGACTCCAATATCCTACAGGTGACCGAGACACAGTCTAAAAAAACTTTATGTAATAAAAATATACTGTAAAATTTACAAGTGTTTGGATTGTACATTCCTAATGTGAACACTTATCATAAATGGTAAGTTGATTGGAATAGTTCCACCAAGTTAAAAAACAGAACTTCTCTTAAAATACATTATTTAAATTTTGAACACAACTAAAATATGAAACAAATTAATTTCTAGGATAAGACCTTACAGGAAACAGAGTGCCCTTAAAGTCTAATTGACAGCTTGTCCATTTTTAAATGTCTTTAAATACATGCACTGTCAATTTATACTTTTAATAATTCCGTGGTTTCCCGGTTGGTCTTGCACCAGATGTCTAACTTGGAGGAACAGTACATAAAATACAAGTCATCGACCTGAGTCTATAGTTAAGCAGCATTTGAACTGTTCTATTCCAGGGCATTATTTTTAATGTGATTTATATACATAGTTTACAGTGGTCAGCAGTTGTAGCAAGTGTTCATTCTTTTGGAATAAGGGTAATTAAGGAAAGGTAAAAACTCAAAAGAAAAAAGCTATGGTGAAATCTGTACAGTATTTAGCAAGGAAGCACCACGTAGATTTGAACAAATTTCTGTTTCAAAGTTAAGTGCAACTGGCATGGCTTCTCTGGAACACGCTGAATCTGAAAGACAAGAGGCGCAGGCATTAGTCAAAGGCGGAGGCCCAGGAAGCCAGGCCTGCCTTTCTGTACCACCCTGTCCTTAGGTCCCCTTGGTCTTTGGGAAGCTCTTTTCCCTTGAAACCACCACTGCCTTCCTGAATAGCAATAGAGGAACCCAGGGATGCCAGGCAGCTGCAGGGGACCTGTTGACTGCCCCACCATCTGCTGGGCCCTGCTGCACCCACCAGCCTGAACCCCAACTGTGGTTAATTCTTCTCAACGCTTAGATCCTGCTTATACTCAGGAAGAATTTAGTTCCTTAGGCTTAGTGCATGCCCTGAGGATACACAGGTAAAGCACGTTAATTAACTGCACACTGATCTTCTATACACAATTCACCTTGAAGTTCATTGAAAATCACCCTTGCTGACTGGCTAGAGACACATAAGGAAGGACAGTCTCCTTTCACGGGCTGAATGGTTCACCACCCGCTTTACCTCCCAAGTGCACAGCATGAAGCAGGAGTCCCCGCCTCCCAGGACCACAGAATACGAGTGACTCAGACACAGCCTCGACACCGAGAAGATTCTGCTCTAAGTCACCTGGACCTCATCCCGACAGAGAGGCCGTGTCAGGCGAGGGGCGTGACCCAGCCTCAGCATGACCTCTAGGCCAGGTGCTCAGTTCTTGGGATGGGCTCTGCTGTCTGGGTTGGGGACGTGGACCTCTCATCCCAGATACTTATAGGATGACTACTGATTCTGACTGTGGGAGCCTTGCTGGCTTCTTCAGGGAGGGAGCAGGTAGGAAAGAGCCACCGTCCTCCCTTTGCCAAGGCTGCCTTGCCTTAGTCCTAGAGAGCTGATGGGGAAAGAGGTCCCGTGCTCTCCAGTGCTGGCTTGGAGCTCAGCGCCCCGCCCCTGCTGCTGTTTCCACAGCTCCACCCCGGGCCTTGGGTTTTCCTCAGAAGTGAAATGCCCTCTCTGTCCCCCCTCAGTGCTTCTACAAAGAGAATGGGGAGACAGGAAAGCGCTTACCTTCACTAGTGCATTTTTTGTTTGGAGGCCAAGGTTTTAATCACCTGGAAGGCAAAGGTTAGGAAACATTTGAATGACTTTGTACAATTTGTAGTGTCTGTGCTCTGGGTGTGCATT